GGCGAGGATACGTGGAGAGCCAAACTATTGGAGGTGGTGACAAGCAACTTTTTAACGCAGCATGTCGGAGAACCCACAAGGATGAGAGGCAATGACGAACCAGCGAGACTCGACCTAGTCTTCACTCTGAACGACTCCGACATAAGAGAAATCGGTTTTGAGGACCCAGTAGGAATGAGCGACCACAGTGTACTGGTGTTTGAGTACTTGATTGAAGAAGGGTAATTGAACTCGAGGAGGGATACCGAAACCAAAAGGTTAGCATACCGAAAGGGAAACTATGAGGGGATAAGAAAATTCCTAACAGATATAGCATGGGAAACAGAGCTCAGGGGAAAGACGGCCCAAGATATGATGGATTACATCACGCAGAAGTGCAAGGACGCAGCAAACAAGTTTGTCCCAGTCCAAAAGGAAAACAGAGAAATGAAGATGAGAAACCCATGGTTTAATCAAAGATGTAGGCTAGCTAAGCAGCAAAGTAAAAGGGCATGGAGAAACTATAGGAATAACAGGACACTGGAGAGCAGAGAAAGATACCAGAATGCCAGGAATGAATATGTCAGGATGAGAAGAGAGGCAGAAAGACAATACGAAAATGACATCGCAAGCAAGGCAAAGACTCAGCCTAAATTGTTGCATAGCCACATTAGGAGAAAAACAACAGTAAAGGAACAGGTTATGAGATTAAGGATAGGGGCGGAAGGATTCACTACAAATGACAAGGAAGTGTGTGAGGAATTGAATAAGAAATTCCAGGAGGTCTTCACCTTAGAACAAGGAGAAATTCCAGAGGTAAGTGAGGGAATAGCTAACCAGGAACCACTGGAAGAGTTTGAGATTACCAGTGGGGAAGTAAGGAAGTGTTTACTAGAGTTGGACGTGACGAAGGCTATAGGCCCAGATGGAATCTCCCCTTGGGTTCTAAAGGAAGGAGCAAGAGAACTGAGCCTACCACTCTCCATAGAGTATAACAAATCACTGGCAACAGGGGAACTGCCAGATACTTGGAAAGCAGCTAACGTAGTCCCGATATACAAGAAAGGGGATAGACAGGAGGCACTGAACTACAGGCCAGTGTCCCTAACCTGCATACCATGCAAGCTGATGGAGAAGATTGTGCGAAAAAAACTAGTGGAGCATCTGGAGCGAAGGAACTTTGTAACACAGCATCAACATGGGTTCAGGGATGGCAGGTCCTGCCTCACAGGGTTACTTGAATTCTACGACCAGGCAACAAAAATAAGGCAAGAAAGAGAAGGGTGGGCAGACTGCATATTTTTGGATTGTCAGAAAGCCTTTGATACAGTGCCACACAAGAGGCTAGTGCGAAAGTTGGAGATGCAGGCTGGAGTGAGAGGGAAGGTACTCCGGTGGATAGAGGAATACCTAAGCAACAGGAGACAACGAGTCTGTGTGAGGGGTGAGGTCTCAGATTGGCGAGACGTCACAAGTGGAGTCCCGCAGGGGTCAGTCCTTGGACCTATACTGTTTCTGGTATATGTAAATGATCTCCCAGAGGGTATAGATTCGTTCCTCTCAATGTTTGCCGACGATGCAAAAATTATGAGGAGGATTGAAACAGAGGATGATAGTAGGAGGCTACAAGATGACCTGGATAGACTGAGTGAATGGTCCAACAAATGGCTGTTGAAGTTCAACCCGAGTAAATGCAAAGTAATGAAACTAGGCAGTGGAAACAGGAGGCCAGGCACAGGATACAGAATAGGAGATGAAGTACTTAATGAAACAGGCAGAGAGAAAGATCTAGGAGTTGATATCACACCAAACCTGTCTCCTGAAGCCCACATAAAAAGAATAACGTCTGCGGCATATGCGAGGCTGGCTAACATCAGAACGGCGTTCAGGAACCTGTGTAAGGAATCATTCAGAATCTTGTACACCACATATGTAAGACCAATCCTGGAGTATGCGGCCCCAGCATGGAGCCCGTACCTTGTCAAGCACAAGACGAAGCTGGAAAAAGTCCAAAGGTATGCTACTAGACTAGTCCCAGAACTAAGAGGCATGAGTTATGAGGAAAGGCTGCGGGAAATGCACCTCACGACACTGGAAGACAGAAGAGTAAGGGGGGACATGATCACAACCTACAAAATCCTCAGGGGAATCGACCGGGTAAACAAGGACGAACTTTTCAACACTGGTGGGACGCGAACAAGGGGACACAGGTGGAAGCTGAGTACCCAAATGAGCCACAGAGACGTTAGAAAGAACTTTTTCAGTGTCAGAGTAGTTAGCAAATGGAATGCATTAGGAAGTGATGTGGTGGAGGCTGACTCCATACACAGTTTCAAATGTAGATATGATAGAGCCCAATAGGCTCAGGAATCTGTACACCAGCTGATTGACGGTTGAGAGGCGGGACCAAAGAGCCAGAGCTCAACCCCCGCAAGCACAATTAGGTGAGTACAATTAGGTGAGTACACACACACACACACACACACACACACACACACGCACACACACACACACACACACACACACACACACACACACACACACACACACACACACACACACACACACACACACACACACACACACACACACTAGGAAATTCCCATTAAATACACGGGAAACCCCCCACAAAAATACGAAGCTGATGATCTGTCCATAATAACCGAGATGTGAGCACCGCGCCTCACGTCTACACCTGGATCTTACTCATTAACTTCTCTACATAATTCAGAATGTTTATTCAAACGAATGTGTGTAGAAAGAACTTAAGAGTAATGTACAATTGTGGGAGAGGAGTTACACATACTAATAAAGCCACTAAGCATTTCCCACAAAACTTAAAATAATTTAGAAAAAATGAATTAAAGTTGTGAGGGGTTAAATACTTAATACTAAGAGAAGAAGTCAGCTTATAAAAATTAGAAAGTTCAAGAAAAGTAACAAACGAATGCAACACTCAGATGATGCAGACGAAGTCACAATAACGTGGCTGAAATATGTTGACCAAACCGCACAGTTGAGTTACACACAGAGATCACACTAACGTGATCATAACGTTATAAGTTCAGTAGAACTTCGGTTTCAACTCTTTTACCCTGTCGTAGCTCAGTCGATTAAGGCAGTGTCTGGGATGCAGGTTCGAATCCTCGTCACAGCCCTTGTGGATTTGTTCACACACTTGAAAGTGATGGGACGACGAGGTTTCGGTCCATCCTGGACCATTCTCGAGTTGATTGTGATGAGGGAAGGAGGTTCCCTCCTTCTCTCATCACAATCGACTTGAGAATGGTCCAGGACGGACCCTTCACTTTCTAGTGTGTGGTTTGGTCAACACAATCAGATGATAATTAGAGATGACTGTCATAGACTAATTAAGGGATACAATTGGGAGTCAGTAGTTCTGGCAACACTACAGTAGTTTGTCACCTACATTCACCTGGGCTCTCGGGGTCCTGCCCACGTCATATAAATTGTCATCCAATATTAATGTTGTTCCAATTATCACCACACCAAACGTGTGAGAGTTTGGAGGCTTTAGTTAGTCACATAATTCCCCAGTGTAGCAGAGGGAACTGCCTCTTCCTTCTCACCTTAACTGTTCCTCACTCTGTATGCCTCGTATAACGAACGGTTACGGTCGTTATACGAGTGATGCCTCGTTAAACGAGTGATGCCTTGTTATACGAGTGATGCCTCGTTATACGAGTGATGCCTCGTTATACGAGTGATGCCTCGTTATATGAGTGATGCCTCGTTATACGAGTGATGCCTCGTTATACGAGTGATGCCTCGTTAAACAAGTGATGCCTCGTTATACGAGTGATGCCTCGTTATACGAGTGATGCCTCGTTATACAAGGGATGCCTCGTTATACGAGTGATGCCTCGTTATACGAGTGATGCCTCGTTATACGAGTGATGCCTCATTATACAAGTGCATGCCTCGTATAACGACCGGTCGGGACTTCAACCCAGACATGCCGGTTCCTTGTTACGTCTAGGTAACCTACTGTTACGTGGCCGGCTCGTCGTTCCAAGCCTCGGTGAGGAAGGATGTGAGGTCACCATCAGGGGTTAAGTACCCATGACCTGGGTCACCTCAGCCGTCTGTCTCAGGTGTTTAAGGGACTCAACACTACAGCCTCCACACGTCGCTTGTCTCCCCTTCTTCGTCAGCAGCTTGTAAGTGTTTTCATGTAAATAATTTCAGTGTCACCCAAATTTTTGTGATAACATTTGTGTTTGTATATGTATTTGTCTGATTATTATTTCTCATGTGTGCCAGCCAACTCAGGGTGTTGTATATTTGTTATTTGTTCATTTTGATATTAGAGTAAATTGTTATAATTTTTCTCTTGAGTAATCCTTCACTCCTGTGCAATTTTCACATTGCAAAGGCCAATGCGTCAAATTTATTTCTTAATGAAGTGTGTGTCACATTCCTCCTGCCTAGTACAGCTGCACTACAAGTCACGTCACAAGTCTATTTACGTTTATAACACAATGGAATACTAAGGTGTAATGTAGAGAAGCAATTGTAACATAACAGAACATAGAGAAATACAGTATAATCAAAGTTTAATGGCGCCAACCCTCAGACATACACAAGGATGACTCGGGACATGAATTAACACTCATCAATGCAAGAATATAATGACACTTGATTAAGAAAGTTCATAATTCCTATTAAATTAACATTTCAGATAAGAGTAAAACAAAGATAGCTTAATATGAGGGAAAATGTGAGTGAAATAAGTTACACGGAATTGATTATAAGATAATTATGTGATATTAAGTTTGATATTAACTTGGGTGATGCACTTAACCTATGGTCAAGACACTCCTGGTCCCTAGCTCACTCCTGGTCCCTAGCTCACTCCTGGTCCCTAGCTCACTCCTGGTCCCTAGCTCACTCCTGGTCCCTAGCTCACTCCTGGTCCCTAGCTCACTCCTGGTCCCTAGCTCACTCCTGGTCCCTAGCTCACTCCTGGTCCCTAGCTCACTCCTGGTCCCTAGCTCACTCCTAGTCCCTAGCTCACTCCTGGTCCCTAGCTAACTCCAGGTCCCTAGCTCCCTACTGGTCCCTAGCTCACTCCTGGTCCCTAGCTCACTCTTGGTCCCTAGCTCACTCCTGGTCCCTAGCTCACTCCTGGTCCCTAGCTCACTCCTGGTCCCTAGCTCACTCCTGGTCCCTAGCTCACTCCTGGTCCCTAGCTCACTCTTGGTCCCTAGCTCACTCCTGGTCCCTAGCTCACTCCTGGTCCCTAGCTCACTCTAGGTCCCTAGCTCACTCCTGGTCCCTAGCTCACTCCTGGTCCCTAGCTCACTCCTGGTCCCTAGCTCACTACTGGTCCCTAGCTCACTACTGGTCCCTAGCTCACTACTGGTCCCTAGCTCACTCCTGGTCCCTAGCTCACTACTGGTCCCTAGCTCACTACTGGTCCCTAGCTCACACCTGGTCCCTAGCTCACTACTGGTCCCTAGCTCACTCCAGGTCCCTAGCTCACTCTTCATTGCGAAGTTATGTATCAGGGGTCCCTTGTTAAGTAACAATAATTTTCAAAAACTTTGTTTAGTTTTGAGGTTCATAATTTGTTGTCGAAGCATTAATTAACTATTTTTATAAATCTTCTGCTTCATTAATCCATATTTTTGTCAGCCCAATTTGTTTGTTTTAAGTTAAAGTCTCTTATAAGAGAAACGTTGGCTTCCTATAGGTGCTTGTTCCATATATGTTTTCTATACTGTCCAAGTTTGCTGCTCTCTATATAGTAAACTCCCTTACTAGGCTATCATGTATTTAATTCCACTCAAAAATGTTCGCGCGTGTGTGTGGCTAGGCTTCGATTCACTCAAAACATTATATTAAAAGTTTTCTGTGATATATATATTGGACACACACAGAGATCACACTAACGTTATGCATCAAATGAACAAATCCACAAGGGCCGTGACGAGGATTCGAACCTGCGTCCGGGAGCATCCTAGACACTGCCTTAATCGAGGATCCAGTAAGTTCAGTAGAACTTCGGTTTCAACCCATTAACCCTGTCGTAGCTCAGTCGATTAAGGCAGTGTCTGGGATGCTCCCGGACGCAGGTTCGAATCCTCGTCACGGCCCCTGTGGATTTGTTCATATATATAGGAAGTGTGGCTCCAGGAGCCAGGGAGTGCCTGTGTTTACTAGTTGTGTTTTTGCGGGGGTTGAGCTTTGCTCTTTCGGCCCGCCTCTCAACTGTCAATCAACTGTTTACTAACTACTTTTTTTTTTCCCACACACCACACACACACACACCCCAGGAAGCAGCCCGTGACAGCTGACTAACTCCCAGGTACCTATTTACTGCTAGGTAACAGGGGCACTTAGGGTGAAAGAAACTTTGCCCATTTGTTTCTGCCTCGTGCGGGAATCGAACCCGCGCCACAGAATTACGAATCCTGCGCGCTATCCACCAGGCTACGAGGCCCCTGTACTAGGTGGGTGCTGCCCGTAACTGTCGCCGCCGTGAACATTCTTCAGTCCAGCTGGTGTTATTGTGGCGCTCTTCTATGTATTTGTTCCCGAGACTTACCTGCGCAGTATCTGGAAGGCGTGCGGCGGCGCAGTAGCAGTGCGCAGCCGGTGAAGGAGGGAGAGTAGTGGCGGACAGTCGGTGATGTGGCCGCACGCGCCATGCCGCCCTCCGCCCCGCGCACACCCTGCAACACACACCAACCTCACAATATAGCAGACTCTAGAAGGCCCATGCAAGGCAGCTCCTGTCTACACCTGTCATCTCACTCCTGTCTACACCTGTCAGCTCACTCCTGTCTACACCTGCCAGCTCACTCCTGTCTACACCTGCCAGCTCACTCCTGTCTACACCTGCCAGCTCACTCCTGTCTACACCTGCCAACTCACTCCTGTCTACACCTGCCAGCTCACTCCTGTCTACACCTGCCAGCTCACTCCTGTTGACACCTGCCAGCTCACTCCTGTTGACACCTGCCAGCTCACTCCTGTTGACACCTGCCAGCTCACTCCTGTTGACACCTGCCAGCTCACTCCTGTCTACACCTGTCAGCTCACTCCTGTCTACACCTGCCAGCTCACTCCTGTTGACACCTGCCAGCTCACTCCTGTTGACACCTGCCAGCTCACTCCTGTTGACACCTGCCAGCTCACTCCTGTTGACACCTGCCAGCTCACTCCTGTTGACACCTGCCAGCTCACTCCTGTTGACACCTGCCAGCTCACTCCTGTTGACACCTGCCAGCTCACTCCTGTTGACACCTGCCAGCTCACTCCTGTCTACACCTGCCAGTTCACTCCTGTCTACACCTGTCAGCTCACTCCTGTCTACACCTGTCAGCTCACTCCTGTCTACACCTGCCAGCTCACTCCTGTCTACACCTGCCAGTTCACTCCTGTCTACACCTGTCAGCTCACACCTGTCTACACCTGTCAGCACACTCCTGTCATTCTACGGGTCCCATTGTCGCGGACAGAGAGCCTCTAAGGCTTATCCAGGTCCCCGTACGCCAACTGCTGAACGTCCCACACCATGCAACTCACAGCAGTTGGTGATTAGATGTATAAGGTGAAAGGAAATGGGCCCCAAACGTCACTGTGAAGGTGATGGAACTGAACCCGGAACTAACAGCTGTGAAGTGAGAGATGTGATGGCTGCCCATGTAAGCACCGTACCCGGGGAATATCTCCCATAAATCAACAAGGCTCGCGCCAAACCAGTATTACCAAGTTCTCTTCTGAATCCGTCCAATCCGTTCCCACTGTGGAACGTGTGCAATAGTGTGCACAGAATGCAGGTGTCATCTCTCAGTCTCCTGGGAACAACGCCACGAGGTTGTATGGCTTGTGCACAAGTGGTAGGTGAGGTTTGTAGAAATAGCCTAAGCTACTCTATCCCTTTGAGATGTATTTCTTTCTTGTCTCAGTAAACATACTTGAACAAGTGGAAGGAACCTGGTTATCTTGAGATGATTTCGGGGCTTTTTAGTGTCCCCGCGGCCCGGTCCTCGACCAGGCCTCCACCCCCCAGGAAGCAGCCCGTGACAGCTGACTAACACCCAGGTACCTATTTTACTGCTAGGTAACAGGGGCATACGGTGAAAGAAACTCTGCCCATTGTTTCTCGCCGGCGCCTGGGATCGAAGCCAGGACCACAGGATCACATGCCCAGCGTGCTGTCCGCTCGGCCAACCGGCTCCCTGACTCCCTGGTGGATACATTTGACACATGGTGTCACGTACTGCAGCCCAGCCTCTTGTGTTGGCAGTACTTATAGGAAGTACTTCTACTTATGTTGCAAAGACAAACTAGAGTAACCTAACCCAACCTTTCTAGGCCTAATACACGCTATCAGAGGCCTTATATAGTACATATATGTGCTATACTAGGCCTAGGAATATTTCAGTTCGTGTTTTACCTTCATATTTTTCGGACTATAAAATGAATAGTACAAAGTTCTACTATCTAATTGCTTAGTACGTCAATGTTTGTACTATGGTGCACATAGTTAGAAAAACTACTATCTAAATAGGGGGAATGGGTTGACTATATTGAGGTTGAGAATACCGACATGACTAGGCTCAGGGAGACAGGAACACCACGTGACATGACTGAGAGGGGAGTTCCACCGTTCCAACAGACCTGTATAATAGGCAGCAGACCTGTATAATAGGAGGCAGCAGACCTGCATAATGGGAGGCAGCAGACCTACATAATGGGCAGCAGACCTACATAATGGGCAGCAGACCTACATAATGGGCAGCAGACCTACATAATGGGCAGCAGACCTGTATAATAAGAGGCAGCAGACCTGCATAATAGGAGGCAGCAGACCTACATAATGGGCAGCAGACCTACATAATGGGCAGCAGACCTACATAATGGGCAGCAGACCTACATAATGGGCAGCAGACCTGTATAATAGGAGGCAGCAGACCTACATAATAGGAGGCAGCAGACCTGCATAATAGGAGGCAGCAGACCTACATAATAGGAGGCAGCAGACCTACATAATGGGCAGCAGACCTGTATAATAGGAGGCAGCAGACCTACATAATAGGAGGCAGCAGACCTACATAATAGGAGGCAGCAGACCTGTATAATAGGAGGCAGCAGACCTACATAATAGGAGGCAGCAGACCTACATAATGGGCAGCAGACCTGTATAATAGGAGGCAGCAGACCTGCATAATAGGAGGCAGCAGACCTGCATAATAGGAGGCAGCAGACCTGTATAATAGGAGGCAGCAGACCTGTATAATAGGAGGCAGCAGACCTGTATAATAGGAGGCAGCAGACCTGTATAATAGGAGGCAGCAGACCTGCATAATAGGAGGCAGCAGACCTACATAATGGGCAGCAGACCTACATAATGGGCAGCAGACCTACATAATGGGCAGCAGACCTACATAATGGGCAGCAGACCTGTATAATAGGAGGCAGCAGACCTGTATAATAAGGGGCAGCAGACCTACATAATGGGCAGCAGACCTACATAATGGGCAGCAGACCTACATAATGGGCAGCAGACCTACATAATGGGCAGCAGACCTGTATAATAGGAGGCAGCAGACCTACATAATAGGAGGCAGCAGACCTGCATAATAGGAGGCAGCAGACCTGTATAATAGGAGGCAGCAGACCTGTATAATAGGAGGCAGCAGACCTACATAATTGGAGGCAGCAGACCTACATAATAGGCAGCAGACCTACATAATAGAAGGCAGCAGACCTGTATAATAGGAGGCAGCAGACCTGCATAACGGGCAGCAGACCTGCATAATAGGCAGCAGACCTGCATAATAGGAGGCAGCAGACCTGTATAATAGGAGGCAGCAGACCTGCATAATAGGCAGCAGACCTACATAATAGAAGGCAGCAGACCTGTATAATAGGAGGCAGCAGACCTGCATAACGGGCAGCAGACCTGCATAATAGGCAGCAGACCTGCATAATAGGAGGCAGCAGACCTGTATAATAGGAGGCAGCAGACCTGCATAACGGGCAGCAGACCTGCATAATAGGCAGCAGACCTGCATAATAGGAGGCAGCAGACCTGTATAATAGGAGGCAGCAGACCTGCATAATAGGCAGCAGACCTGCATAACAGGAGGCAGCAGACCTGTATAATAGGAGGCAGCAGACCTGCATAATAGGCAGCAGACCTGCATAATAGGAGGCAGCAGACCTGCATAACAGGAGGCAGCAGACCTGTATAATAGGAGGCAGCAGACCTGCATAATAGGCAGCAGACCTGCATAATAGGAGGCAGCAGACCTGCATAACAGGAGGCAGCAGACCTGCATAATGGGAGGCAGCAGACCTGCATAATAGGCAGCAGACCTGCATAATAGGAGGCAGCAGACCTGCATAACAGGAGGCAGCAGACCTGTATAACGGGAGGCAGCAGACCTGTATAATAGGAGGCAGCAGACCTGCATAACGGGCAGCAGACCTGCATAATAGGCAGCAGACCTGCATAATAGGAGGCAGCAGACCTGTATAATAGGAGGCAGCAGACCTGCATAACGGGCAGCAGACCTGCATAATAGGCAGCAGACCTGCATAATAGGAGGCAGCAGACCTGTATAATAGGAGGCAGCAGACCTGCATAATAGGCAGCAGACCTGCATAACAGGAGGCAGCAGACCTGTATAATAGGAGGCAGCAGACCTGCATAATAGGCAGCAGACCTGCATAATAGGAGGCAGCAGACCTGCATAACAGGAGGCAGCAGACCTGTATAATAGGAGGCAGCAGACCTGCATAATAGGCAGCAGACCTGCATAATAGGAGGCAGCAGACCTGCATAACAGGAGGCAGCAGACCTGCATAATGGGAGGCAGCAGACCTGCATAATAGGCAGCAGACCTGCATAATAGGAGGCAGCAGACCTGCATAACAGGAGGCAGCAGACCTGTATAACGGGAGGCAGCAGACCTGTATAATAGGAGGCAGCAGACCTGCATAACAGGAGGCAGCAGACCTGTATAATAGGAGGCAGCAGACCTGCATAATAGGCAGCAGACCTGCATAATAGGAGGCAGCAGACCTGCATAACAGGAGGCAGCAGACCTGCATAACAGGAGGCAGCAGACCTGCATAACAGGAGGCAGCAGACCTGTATAATAGGAGGCAGCAGACCTGCATAATAGGCAGCAGACCTGCATAATAGGAGGCAGCAGACCTGCATAACAGGAGGCAGCAGACCTGCATAATAGGAGGCAGCAGACCTGCATAATAGGCAGCAGACCTGCATAATAGGAGGCAGCAGACCTGCATAATAGACGGCAGCAGACCTGCATAATGGGAGGCAGCAGACCTGCATAATAGGCAGCAGACCTGCATAATAGGAGGCAGCAGACCTGCATAACAGGAGGCAGCAGACCTGTATAACGGGAGGTAGCAGACCTGCATAATAGGCAGCAGACCTGCATAACAGGAGGCAGCAGACCTGTATAACGGGAGGCAGCAGCTGGAACACAAGCTACTATAATGGGCGACTTAAACTACGAGACATTAGATTGGGTAAAGTAATTATCAAAAGAAGGCACCAAGCCAGGGAGGCTATGTAGCACCATCAAAAGTGTGGGATATTCAAAAGGCGCTAAATATCACTAAGGATGCCAATACAAGAACAACATCAAAGGCTTCCAATTCACCAAGGATACTATCGAGGGACAGGTGACGTTTGGGAGGCAAGATGCACACACATCCTGGAAGACAAGACATTGAACATGGATATGCACGACCGTAAGAGAGACAGTGCAATTCGCACAATAAGGAACAGGGCGGCGCTCCATTAAGTGCTCGTGAATTAAACGTGTATAGGCCATGCGCAACCTTCCCAGAGCCGTTTCCCACCGCCGGTTACGGTGGTAGGAGGAAGGCCACGGGGACACACTACTCTTAAGATCACGCAGCTTGTTACCAGTAACAGAAGACCAACAACCCTGCCAACGGGCACGTGTTGAGGAATGAATGACTGGGTAAAAGTCGGAATAAGGAATACCTTTACAGGAGATGGGTCAGACGTGGATAGCCTCCTTAGCGGCAGTGTCCGCATACTCATTTATGGACACACCAATATGGCTGGGAACCCAGCAAAACTCTACTGTCTTAAATCTGCTGGAGATAAGAAACAGCCAAAATTTAATTTCGATGACCACAGTATGGATAGGATTAAAAGACTCCAGAGCCATAAAGGCACTGCGAGAGTCAACTACAACAAGAAAGGAAGAATTACAGCGAGAAAGTAGTTGACGAAGAGCAAACAAAATTGCATAAAGTTCAGCTGTGAAGATGCTAGTCTCTGGAGCCAGGCAACACATATAGGTGCAGTCAGCAAACACAAGAGTAGTCTATACCATCAGCAGACTTAGACCCCATCTGTGAAGACATTGATGGAGCGGGAGTGTGAAGAAAAGTGAGCAAGGAAAAGGCGTTTCAGAACTGTAGGAGGGGTAAAAGCCTTAGTCAAGCAGGTCAAGGCACTACAAAACTTAGGAAGAGGGACCCTCCATGGGGGCAAGAACAGAATGACATGAGGAGAAACATTGGCAACATGAACCGAGAGAGAACCTTGCAAGTGAGACAACCGTACAGAAAGGGAAAGGTGGTGAAAGGGAACAGGGCCCACAGGAGGGGTAATGATCAAAGTACGACATAAGCGAGAGTGAGGGTGTTGTAAGGGACCGTGCAAAGTAACAAAGACAGTAGCAATCACGGCAATCCTGTAAAGACAGGATGCCGATCTCAACATACAGGCTCTGGATAGGGGTCAAACAAAAGGCACCAGTGCTAAGACGGAGCCCAGTATGGTGAAAAGCATCAAGACAATGAAGGGTGGAGGGAGAGGCAGACGAGTAAGCAGTACAGCCATAATCGAGTTTAGATAGCACGAGAGAGGAATGTAAAGAGAGGAGCGTGCACCTATCAGCTCCCAAGGAAGTATGGCCAAGACCTTAAGTAAGTTAAGGGCCTTAGAGCATTCGACTCGGAGGTAGGAGATATGGGGTGACCAGGACAAGTGAGTGTCAAAGATTAACCCCAGAAGTTTAGCAGAATCCTTATACAAAGGAGGATTACCATAAAGCGACAGAGGGGGTCAAAGGACGACCTGCTTCCGAGAAAAGGTCATAGCACAAGTCTTAGCCGGAGAGAACTTGAAGCCATGATTGGTGGCCTAGGACAACACGGCATCAATCGCAAGTTGAAGCTGCCGTTGGAGGAAAGGCGAGTCATCACCTTGACAGCAGAGGGTAAGATTGTCAACATAAAGAGTGGAGAAAAGAAGAGAAGAGGAGGTGAAAGCGTTCCAAGAACCACATTAGATGGACATTGACCATACTCTCAAAGAGTTTGCAGACGCAACTCGAGAGGGTAATGGGGAGGAAGTCTTTAGGGGATGACCCTAGAGAACCAGGTTTCCGAATAGAAAGAACAATTGCCGCAAATCAGTCCTCAGGGACTGACGACGACTCCCAGACACGGTTATAAACACTCGGTAAAAATTGAAACGTGCATGGAGGGTGTCAGAAAACACGACACCATTTACTAATATTTTAATACAACAGACAGATAATGTTGCTGCTGTTGTATACTCAAGTTAACCCATAGAAAATGTAGCTTGTAGTGGAATTTTCCGCCAATAGAAAACAGGATATTATTGCCACATAGTACTATAAATTCACCAGCTATTCTGTTGGGAATTATTCTTAAATACAGTAGTCTTTGGACTTTTATCATCATGAAAACATCTCATTTGAGTTAACTTAATTATCAGTATCAAAATAAAGTAAATGTGACCCGTTCTACCACATATTGACATCTGGACAAGGAGAGCCGAGGCGTCAGTGGTGAGGGAGGTCAGCCAGTGTTAAGACCATAGTGGCTGGAGCAAATTCAGCTCCTATAATTCTCTTGGACGAAGTGTTATGGAGATCAAATTAGTGCTTCTTCCATCATCAACACACAGTCAACATCTAAACAAGGGAAGTGTCTTACCGAAACCCGTTTATCTAATCATTTCTGGCCAGTTAATGTTAAGTAGATATAGGGCAAACCGGTTAGGACGCGAACAAGCCACTAAACACAGGTAATTAGGCCTTGGTCCTAATCTAATAATATATAAAAGTTTTCTCTGATATAGCTGTCATATATTAGGATTCTGACTTTACAGCTAGTGCCCTTTGACATGAACAAGAAGAGGAAGCAGGAATTAATCTTGGTACATCAGTTACTTGGGTGATGGAAGCTCGCCTCTCACGAGGATAATTTGGTGTCTACATCCCAGTTATACCTGGTGGACTAAGCCTACCATACAATAAGATAAGGCACCTCCAATTTTATTAACTAATATATGTAGTTTAATCAACCAATATACTCCATGGGATAACTGCGATCTATCAGTCGATTTTGTAAATAGCCCAAGAAAGATAGTGTGCACTCTACATTATAAAAACAGTTAACACTGAAAAGCATCACTGAAAGTACTCAGAGTATGGGTAACGATGTGTATCAGTGCTATACCGACGGCTCTGTAGAAGAAGGTGGACGATGTACCGGATGTGCATGTAACATATTTGAACAATCTTCTCTCGTACATACAGCAATGAAGCGCGTGAATGACTGGGCAAGTACAACTCCAACCGAACTTGCAGGCATATACCTTGCCACTGAATTTCTAATAGACACAAAGGCAGTGGACTTATATACTGTGACTCGCAGAGTGCACTCCTGGCACTGAACGTACATAGTAGTGACACCCAGAAAATAGTCAGTGATATTCGAATGAATGTTTTAGCTGCTAAAGATTACAGGCAGCTGGTGGTGTACCACAGGCAGCTGGAGGTGTACCACAGGCAGCTGGTGGTGTACCACAGGCAGCTGGTGGTGTACCACAGGCAGCTGGTGGTGTACCACAGGCAGCTGGTGGTGTACCACAGGCAGCTGGTGGTGTACCACAGGCAGCTGGTGGTGTACCACAGGCAGCTGGTGGTGTACCACAGGCAGCTGGTGGTGTACCACAGGCAGCTGGAGGTGTACCACAGGCAGCTGGTGGTGTACCACAGGCAGCTGGTGGTGTACCACAGGCAGCTGGAGGTGTACCACAGGCAGCTGGTGGTGTACCACAGGCAGCTGGTGGTGTACCACAGGCAGCTGGTGGTGTACCACAGGCAGCTGGTGGTGTACCACAGGCAGCTGGTGGTGTACCACAGGCAGCTGGAGGTGTACCACAGGCAGCTGGTGGTGTACCACAGGCAGCTGGTGGTGTACCACAGGCAGCTGGTGGTGTACCACAGGCAGCTGGTGGTGTACCACAGGCAGCTGGTGGTGTACCACAGGCAGCTGGTGGTGTACCACAGGCAGCTGGTGGTGTACCACAGGCAGCTGGTGGTGTACCACAGGCAGCTGGAGGTGTACCACAGGCAGCTGGTGGTGTACCACAGGCAGCTGGTGGTGTACCACAGGCAGCTGGAGGTGTACCACAGGCAGCTGGTGGTGTACCACAGGCAGCTGGTGGTGTACCACAGGCAGCTGGTGGTGTACCACAGGCAGCTGGTGGTGTACCACAGGCAGCTGGTGGTGTACCACAGGCAGCTGGTGGTGTACCACAGGCAGCTGGTGGTGTACCACAGGCAGCTGGTGGTGTACCACAGGCAGCTGGTGGTGTACCACAGGCAGCTGGTGGTGTACCACAGGCAGCTGGTGGTGTACCACAGGCAGCTGGTGGTGTACCACAGGCAGCTGGTGGTGTACCACAGGCAGCTGGTGGTGTACCACAGGCAGCTGGTGGTGTACCACAGGCAGCTGGTGGTGTACCTCAGGCAGCTGGTGGTGTACCTCAGGCAGCTGGTGGTGTACCACAGACAGCTGGTGGTGTACAGTGTTCACTATCACTTACTGGCTATATGGTGAGCGTCACAACCCACCGTCACCATCGCTGTCACCATCATCATCATCGCCGCGAAGCGCCACATTATCACACCTGGAGGATGAACCGTCACTATTAGACAGACACTGACAGTAATACAGTCCACACTGTCAGTAATACAGTCCACACTGTCAGTAATACAACAGTCCACACTGACAGTAATACAACAGTCCACACTGACAGTAATACAATAGTCCACACTGACAGTAATACAGTCCACACTGTCAGTAATACAACAGTCCACACTGACAGTAATACAGTCCACACTGTCAGTAATACAACAGTCCACACTGACAGTAATACAACAGTCCACACTGACAGTAATACAACAGTCCACACTGACAGTAATACAACAGTCCACACTGACAGTAATACAGTCCACACTGACAGTAATACAACAGTCCACACTGACAGTAATACAACAGTCCACACTGACAGTAATACAGTCCACACTGACAGTAATACAACAGTCCACACTGACAGTAATACAGTCCACACTGACAGTAATACAACAGTCAACACTGACAGTAATACAGTCCACACTGACAGTAATACAACAGTCCACACTGTCAGTAATACAGTCCACACTGACAGTAATACAACAGTCCACACTGACAGTAATACAACAGTCCACACTGACAGTAATACAGTCCACACTGTCAGTAATACAACAGTCCACACTGACAGTAATACAACAGTCCACACTGACAGTAATACAACAGTCCACACTGACAGTAATACAGTCCACACTGACAGTAATACAACAGTCAACATTGACAGTAATACAGTCCACACTGACAGTAATACAACAGTCCACACTGACAGTAATACAACAGTCCACACTGACAGTAATACAGTCCACACTGACAGTAATACAACAGTCCACACTGACAGTAATACAGTCCACACTGTCAGTAATACAACAGTCCACACTGACAGTAATACAACAGTCCACACTGTCAGTAATACAGTCCACACTGACAGTAATACAACAGTCCACACTGACAGTAATACAGTCCACACTGACAGTAATACAACAGTCCACACTGACAGTAATACAACAGTCAACACTGACAGTAATACAACAGTCCACACTGACAGTAATACAACAGTCAACACTGTCAGTAATACAACAGTCCACACTGACAGTAATACAACAGTCAACACTGTCAGTAATACAACAGTCCACACTGACAGTAATACAACAGTCAACACTGACAGTAATACAACAGTCCACACTGACAGTAATACAGTCCACACTGACAGTAATACAACAGTCCACACTGACAGTAATACAACAGTCAACACTGACAGTAATACAACAGTCCACACTGTCAGTAATACAACAGTCCACACTGACAGTAATACAACAGTCCACACTGTCAGTAATACAGTCCACACTGACAGTAATACAACAGTCCACACTGTCAGTAATACAACAGTCCACACTGACAGTAATACAACAGTCCACACTGTCAGTAATACAACAGTCCACACTGACAGTAATACAACAGTCCACACTGACAGTAATACAACAGTCCACACTGACAGTAATACAACAGTCCACACTGTCAGTAATACAACAGTCCACACTGACAGTAATACAACAGTCCACACTGTCAGTAATACAGTCCACACTGACAGTAATACAACAGTCCACACTGTCAGTAATACAGTCCACACTGACAGTAATACAACAGTCCACACTGTCAGTAATACAGTCCACACTGTCAGTAATACAACAGTCCACACTGACAGTAATACAACAGTCCACACTGTCAGTAATACAGTCCACACTGACAGTAATACAACAGTCCACACTGACAGTAATACAACAGTCCACACTGTCAGTAATACAGTCCACACTGACAGTAATACAACAGTCCACACTGTCAGTAATACAACAGTCCACACTGACAGTAATACAACAGTCCACACTGACAGTAATACAACAGTCCACACTGACAGTAATACAACAGTCCACACTGTCAGTAATACAACAGTCCACACTGTCAGTAATACAACAGTCCACACTGACAGTAATACAACAGTCCACACTGTCAGTAATACAGTACGCACTGACAGTAATACAACAGTCCACACTGACAGTAATACAACAGTCCACACTGACAGTAATACAACAGTCCACACTGACAGTAATACAACAGTCCACACTGACAGTAATACAACAGTTCACACTGACAGTAATACAACAGTCCACACTGACAGTAATACAACAGTTCACACTGTCAGTAATACAACAGTCCCCACTGACAGTAATACAACAGTCCACATTGACAGTAATACAGTCCACACTGACAGTAATACAGTCCACACTGACAGTAATACAACAGTCCACATTGACAGTAATACAGTCCACACTGACAGTAATACAGTCCACACTGACAGTAATACAACAGTCCACATTGACAGTAATACAGTCCACATTGACAGTAATACAGTCCACACTGACAGTAATACAACAGTCCACACTGACAGTAATACAGTCCACATTGACAGTAATACAACAGTCCACACTGACAGTAATACAACAGTCCACACTGTCAGTAATACAACAGTCCACACTGTCAGTAATACAACAGTCCACACTGACAGTAATACAACAGTCCACACTGACAGTAATACAACAGTCCACACTGACAGTAATACAACAGTCCACACTGACAGTAATACAACAGTCCACACTGACAGTAATACAACAGTCCACACTGTCAGTAATACAACAGTCCACACTGACAGTAATACAACAGTCCACACTGACAGTAATACAACAGTCCACACTGACAGTAATACAACAGTCCACACTGTCAGTAATACAGTCCACATTGACAGTAATACAACAGTCCACACTGACAGTAATACAACAGTCCACACTGACAGTAATACAACAGTCCACACTGACAGTAATACAACAGTCCACACTGACAGTAATACAGTCCACACTGTCAGTAATACAGTCCACACTGTCAGTAATACAACAGTCCACACTGACAGTAATACAACAGTCCACACTGTCAGTAATACAGTCCACACTGACAGTAATACAACAGTCCACACTGACAGTAATACAACAGTCCACACTGACAGTAATACAACAGTCCACACTGACAGTAATACAGTCCACACTGACAGTAATACAACAGTCCACACTGACAGTAATACAACAGTCCACACTGACAGTAATACAACAGTCCACACTGACAGTAATACAACAGTCCACACTGACAGTAATACAACAGTCCACACTGACAGTAATACAACAGTCCACACTGACAGTAATACAGTCCACACTGACAGTAATACAACAGTCCACACTGACAGTAATACAGTCCACACTGACAGTAATACAACAGTCCACACTGACAGTAATACAACAGTCCACACTGACAGTAATACAACAGTCCACACTGACAGTAATACAACAGTCCACACTGACAGTAATACAACAGTCCACACTGACAGTAATACAACAGTCCACACTGACAGTAATACAACAGTCCACACTGACAGTAATACAACAGTCCACACTGACAGTAATACAACAGTCCACACTGACAGTAATACAACAGTCCACACTGTCAGTAATACAACAGTCCACACTGTCAGTAATACAACAGTCCACACTGACAGTAATACAACAGTCCACACTGACAGTAATACAACAGTCCACACTGACAGTAATACAACAGTCCACACTGACAAAAAAATAAAAAAAAATGAAAAAAAAGGTAATACAGTATTACTCATTCGTTATTAATAATTCTAACTTGATAAAAAAATGCAAAATGTGTTTAACAATTGTTTCCTATAATGATATACTGAAGAGCTCAGTAATACAAGACTTGTGTTACAGCTCATAAGGCTCTCTGAGACAACAGTCAGGTTATGATCAGTAATTATTGAGTGATTAGTAGTAAATATAGCGTGTATTTACCTGTAAGAGAGAGAGGCGTCTGGTGGCGAGGGAGAGCTGCGACACACGACCTTCCACAGGGAGCTGCAGACCAGCACTGACCACCTGTTGACAAGGTCGACCACCACCACCATCCTCCCTCCTGACCTTGATCCCTAGTGTTCTGTGGCAGGTTATGGTTAGTGGACGGTGGCTAGTGTTCTGTGGCAGGTTAGTGGACGGTGGCTAGTGTTCTGTGGCAGGTTAGTGGACGGTGGCTAGTGTTCTGTGGCAGGTTAGTGGACGGTGGCTAGTGTTCTGTGGCGGGTTAGTGGACGGTGGCTGGTGTTCTGTGGCAGGTTAGTGGACGGTGGCTAGTGTTCTGTGGCAGGTTAGTGAACGGTGGCTAGTGTTCTGTGGCAGGTTAGTGGACGGTGGCTAGTGTTCTGTGGCAGGTTAGTGGACGGTGGCTAGTGTTCTGTGGCAGGTTAGTGGACGGTGGCTAGTGTTCTGTGGCAGGTTAGTGTACGGTGGCTAGTGTTCTGTGGCAGGTTAGTGGACGGTGGCTTGTGTTCTGTGGCAGGTTAGTGGACGGTGGCTGGTGTTCTGTGGCAGGTTAGTGGACGGTGGCTGGTGTTCTGTGGCAGGTTAGTGGACGGTGGCTAGTGTTCTGTGGCAGGTTAGTGGACGGTGGCTAGTGTTCTGTGGCAGGTTAGTGGACGGTGGCTAGTGTTCTGTGGCAGGTTAGTGGACGGTGGCTAGTGTTCTGTGGCAGGTTAGTGGACGGTGGCTAGTGTTCTGTGGCAGGTTAGTGGACGGTGGCTAGTGTTCTGTGGCAGGTTAGTGGACGGTGGCTAGTGTTCTGTGGCAGGTTAGTGGACGGTGGCTAGTGTTCTGTGGCAGGTTAGTGGACGGTGGCTAGTGTTCTGTGGCAGGTTAGTGGACGGTGGCTGTGTTCTGTGGCAGGTTAGTGGACGGTGGCTAGTGTTCTGTGGCAGGTTAGTGGACGGTGGCTAGTGTTCTGTGGCAGGTTAGTGGACGGTGGCTAGTGTTCTGTGGCAGGTTAGTGGACGGTGGCTAGTGTTCTGTGGCAGGTTAGTGGACGGTGGCTAGTGTTCTGTGGCAGGTTAGTGGACGGTGGCTAGTGTTCTGTGGCAGGTTAGTGGACGGTGGCTAGTGTTCTGTGGCAGGTTAGTGGACGGTGGCTAGTGTTCTGTGGCAGGTTAGTGGACGGTGGCTAGTGTTCTGTGGCAGGTTAGTGGACGGTGGCTAGTGTTCTGTGGCAGGTTAGTGGTTAGTGGATGGTGGCTAGTGTTCTGTGGCAGGTTAGTGGACGGTGGCTAGTGTTCTGTGGCAGGTTAGTGGACGGTGGCTAGTGTTCTGTGGCAGGTTAGTGGACGGTGGCTAGTGTTCTGTGGCAGGTTAGTGGACTGGCTAGTGTTCTGTGGCAGGTTAGTGGACGGTGGCTAGTGTTCTGTGGCAGGTTAGTGGACGGTGGCTAGTGTTCTGTGGCAGGTTAGTGGACGGTGGCTAGTGTTCTGTGGCAGGTTAGTGGACGGTGGCTAGTGTTCTGTGGCAGGTTAGTGGACGGTGGCTAGTGTTCTGTGGCAGGTTAGTGGACGGTGGCTAGTGTTCTGTGGCAGGTTAGTGGACGGTGGCTAGTGTTCTGTGGCAGGTTAGTGGACGGTGGCTAGTGTTTTGTGGCAGGTGGACGGTGGCTAGTGTTCTGTGGCAGGTTAGTGGACTAGGTTCTATGGCTTAGTGTTCTGTGGTGGCAGGTTAGTGGACGGTGGCTAGTGTTCTGTGGCAGGTTAGTGGACGGTGGCTAGTGTTCTGTGGCAGGTTAGTGGACGGTGGCTAGTGTTCTGTGGCAGGTTAGGTTAGTGGACGGTGGCTAGTGTTCTGTGGCAGGTTAGTGGACGGTGGCTAGTGTTCTGTGGCAGGTTAGTGGACGGTGGCTAGTGTTCTGTGGCAGGTTAGTGGACGGTGGCTAGTGTTCTGTGGCAGGTTAGTGGACGGTGGCTAAGTGTTGTGTGGCTGTGGCAGGTTAGGTTAGTGGACGGTGGCTAGTGTTCTGTGGCAGGTTAGTGGACGGTGGCTAGTGTTCTGTGGCAGGTTAGTGGACGGTGGCTAGTGTTCTGTGGCAGGTTAGGTGTGACTAGGTGGCTAGTGTTCTGTGGCAGGTTAGTGGACGGTGGCTAGTGTTCTGTGGCAGGTTAGTGGACGGTGGCTAGTGTTCTGTGGCAGGTTAGTGGACGGTGGCTAGTGTTCTGTGGCAGGTTAGTGGACGGTGGCTAGTGTTCTGTGGCAGGTTATGGTGGCTAGTGTTCTGTGGCAGGTTATGGTTAGTGGACGGTGGCTAGTGTTCTGTTTCAGGTTATGGTTAGTGGACGGTGGCTAGTGTTCTGTGGCAGGTTATGGTTAGTGGACGGTGGCTAGTGTTCTGTGGCAGGTTAGTGGACGGTGGCTAGTGTTCTGTGGCAGGTTAGTGGACGGTGGCTAGTGTTCTGTGGCAGGTTATGGTTAGTGGATGGTGGCTAGTGTTCTGTGGCAGGTTAGTGGACGGTGGCTGGTGTTCTGTGGCAGGTTAGAGGACGGTGGCTAGTGTTCTGTGGCAGGTTAGTGGACGGTGGCTAGTGTTCTGTGGCAGGTTAGTGGACGGTGGCTAGTGTTAGTGTTCTGTGGCAGGTTAGTGGACGGTGGCTAGTGTTCTGTGGCAGGTTAGTGGACTAGTGTTCTGTGGCTAGTGTGTTCTGTGGCAGGTTAGTGGACGGTGGCTAGTGTTCTGTGGCAGGTTAGTGGACGGTGGCTAGTGTTCTGTGGCAGGTTAGTGGACGGTGGCTAGTGTTCTGTGGCAGGTTATGGTTAGTGGACGGTGGCTAGTGTTCTGTGGCAGGTTAGTGGACGGTGGCTAGTGTTCTGTGGCAGGTTAGTGGACGGTGGCTAGTGTTCTGTGGCAGGTTAGTGGACGGTGGCTAGTGTTCTGTGGCAGGTTAGTGGACGGTGGCTAGTGTTCTGTGGCAGGTTAGTTCGGTGGCTAGTGTTCTGTGGCAGGTTAGTGGACGGTGGCTAGTGTTCTGTGGCAGGTTAGTGGACGGTGGCTAGTGTTCTGTGGCAGGTTAGTGGACGGTGGCTAGTGTTCTGTGGCAGGTTAGTGGACGGTGGCTAGTGTTCTGTGGCAGGTTAGTGGACGGTGGCTAGTGTTCTGTGGCAGGTTAGTGGACGGTGGCTAGTGTTCTGTGGCAGGTTAGTGGACGGTGGCTAGTGTTCTGTGGCAGGTTAGGTGGACGGTGGCTAGTGTTCTGTGGCAGGTTAGTGGACGGTGGCTAGTGTTCTGTGGCAGGTTAGTGGACGGTGGCTAGTGTTCTGTGGCAGGTTAGTGGACGGTGGCTAGTGTTCTGTGGCAGGTTAGTGGACGGTGGCTAGTGTTCTGTGGCAGGTTAGTGGACGGTGGCTAGTGGATGGTGGCTAGTGTTCTGTGGCAGGTTAGTGGACGGTGGCTAGTGTTCTGTGGCAGGTTAGTGGACGGTGGCTAGTGTTCTGTGGCAGGTTAGTGGACGGTGGCTAGTGTTCTGTGGCAGGTTAGTGGACGGTGGCTAGTGTTCTGTGGCAGGTTAGTGGACGGTGGCTAGTGTTCTGTGGCAGGTTAGTGGACGGTGGCTAGTGTTCTGTGGCAGGTTAGTGGACGGTGGCTAGTGTTCTGTGGCAGGTTAGTGGACGGTGGCTAGTGTTCTGTGGCAGGTTAGTGGACGGTGGCTAGTGTTCTGTGGCAGGTTATGGTTAGTGGATGGTGGCTAGTGTTCTGTGGCAGGTTAGTGGACGGTGGCTAGTGTTCTGTGGCAGGTTAGTGGACGGTGGCTAGTGTTCTGTGGCAGGTTAGTGGACGGTGGCTAGTGTTCTGTGGCAGGTTAGTGGACGGTGGCTAGTGTTCTGTGGCAGGTTATGGTTAGTGGATGGTGGCTAGTGTTCTGTGGCAGGTTAGTGGACGGTGGCTAGTGTTCTGTGGCAGGTTAGTGGACGGTGGCTAGTGTTCTGTGGCAGGTTAGTGGACGGTGGCTAGTGTTCTGTGGCAGGTTAGTGGACGGTGGCTAGTGTTCTGTGGCAGGTTAGTGGACGGTGGCTAGTGTTCTGTGGCAGGTTAGGACGGTGTGTTCTGTGGCACGGTGGCTAGTGTTCTGTGGCAGGTTAGTGGACGGTGGCTAGTGTTCTGTGGCAGGTTAGTGGACGGTGGCTAGTGTTCTGTGGCAGGTTAGTGGACGGTGGCTAGTGTTCTGTGGCAGGTTAGTGGACGGTGGCTAGTGTTCTGTGGCAGGTTAGTGGACGGTGGCTAGTGTTCTGTGGCAGGTTAGTGGACGGTGGCTAGTGTTCTGTGGCAGGTTAGTGGACGGTGGCTAGTGTTCTGTGGCAGGTTAGTGGACGGTGGCTTAGTGTTCTGTGGCAGGTTAGTGGACGGTGGCTAGTGTTCTGTGGCAGGTTAGTGGACGGTGGCTAGTGTTCTGTGGCAGGTTAGTGGACGGTGGCTAGTGTTCTGTGGCAGGTTAGTGGACGGTGGCTAGTGTTCTGTGGCAGGTTAGTGGACGGTGGCTAGTGTTCTGTGGCAGGTTAGTGGACGGTGGCTAGTGTTCTGTGGCAGGTTAGTGGACGGTGGCTAGTGTTCTGTGGCAGGTTAGTGGACGGTGGCTAGTGTTCTGTGGCAGGTTAGTGGACGGTGGCTAGTGTTCTGTGGCAGGTTAGTGGACGGTGGCTAGTGTTCTGTGGCAGGTTAGTGGACGGTGGCTAGTGTTCTGTGGCAGGTTAGTGGACGGTGGCTAGTGTTCTGTGGCAGGTTAGTGGACGGTGGCTAGTGTTCTGTGGCAGGTTAGTGGACGGTGGCTAGTGTTCTGTGGCAGGTTAGTGGACGGTGGCTAGTGTTCTGTGGCAGGTTAGTGGACGGTGGCTAGTGTTCTGTGGCAGGTTAGTGGACGGTGGCTAGTGTTCTGTGGCAGGTTAGTGGACGGTGGCTAGTGTTCTGTGGCAGGTTAGTGGACGGTGGCTAGTGTTCTGTGGCAGGTTAGTGGACGGTGGCTAGTGTTCTGTGGCAGGTTAGTGGACGGTGGCTAGTGTTCTGTGGCAGGTTAGTGGACGGTGGCTAGTGTTCTGTGGCAGGTTAGTGGACGGTGGCT